TCGGTGGAGAAGGTGCAGAGGTGGGAATTGAACCCACGACCTTCTGGCCTTAAGGCCAATGCTCTACCAACTGAGCTACTGTCGCCCCCCATGTGCATATACACATGTGTAAATGTGTATATGCATATATGTGTATATATGGACATGTAAGTATATGTGCAGCATTAGCAGCAGTAGTGGACAAATGCAGCACCAAAGTCAGGAAGTCAATGGAAAGGAGGCTGTCAAGTTTGTTGCCATGTCCTGACAAACCAACGAGGCCCCCTAGTGGTCAATGCAGATACCATGGTTTCATTCTCAAAAAGTGAATTAATGTCAACCCAGAGAGCACAGTGCCTAGATATGTAGAGTACAGTAGAAAAATAAATACATAAATTAACTAATTTTGTCACAAGGAGGCATGATCAGACTGCACATACTATGACAACCTCATCACTGAGAGGCCCATACCATTAATGGCTCAGAAAATCTCGCTCAGCATTTCATGTTATTGATCCTAAAGAACTGCTTGAGTCATTGCAACATAAAATAATGGTTTAGCGGAAGCATTAGATGCATTACTTAGTTTCTAAAAGCTAGACAATGACATGGCTTGATGTACAGTAAGGGTTCTGCTGAGGTGATCGCAAAACTAATCACTATATTACCCTTGACCTGCAGAATGTGACAGCACAAATTAATTATTGTCTCTTAAAATATATAAATGTTTTAAGCTAATTAAATCAAATCTGTAACCTATTTTTATTCAGCAATTACTTTTCTATTACTTCCTTAACACCCTCACTCCATTTTCTCCCCGAGTTGTACTAGTATTCCTATGGTCCAAACAATATTAATAATGCATATTTCTTATCACTGGCTGTTGTGGATCCGTCTGGAGCTGGAATTGGCAACACAGCGGGTCAAACTAATCCTCTCCTCCAACAATCTGATCCGGACAGGTGCCCTCTCAATTAAACATTTGCTGATTAAGTCTGACAAATGTACCGCGGTCTCAACTCAACACCAAACAAAGAAAAGTGAGTTTTGTTTGGCCTTGAATAGTTTACAAATGCTAATAAACTAAAACAATGGAAAGCCTAAACTGTGGTAGAATGTATCTGGCAACTTCCACTGGAGACTGGTGGCTATTAATATTATTTTCATTTCACTCATGCATTTGTTTGCTGTCAATTCAATCCAATTCAAAGCCATATTCACGGAAGCAAAGAACAAAACACTTGTTATGGGGTCTGACAGATTGGCGATCAAAATCATAAAGCGGGGCGCACGGACCGTCAACGGAGACGAGGGGCCCTATACCTCGGCTCACACAGGGGCGTGGTCAGTTTGATGGATCTACCCAAACTGTCAGACAGGCTGCATCCGGTAAAAACAACTGATAAGAGACATCACACCATCATGAGTCACCTCTGACAAAGGCAGAAGTGTCCCTCCTAAACATTTACAGTTTACTAAGCAGTACTAACTTCTTTATACTTTTGCCTTATAGAAAAGAATGTTTTGCAGAAATACTCTGAGTAATGAATTATTTTAATTGATTAAGTAAATTAAGGGTAGGTATATTGTTGGATTTAATTCAAGCATGACAAGAGAGGAAATGTAAACATAACATTTACATGACTTCAATTAACAATATTTCTAATACTATACTTGTAGTAATAAGTCTGTGCAAGGCCAGTCAATGTCATATAAAAGTGATTTAATGTGACAGAAGAAATTTTAACTTACTGTTGTCATGGAATGGATGATTATTAAACAGTATGAAGAAACAAGAAAGATGCAACTCATTCACAGATCATAGAATTCCCATCAGCTCTAAAACTAAACAATAATTCAACTTATGTCACAAAAAAGTATTTTTCACATTCTGCATTTGGTTCAGTTTTTTGCCATTTTAAATTCAAACAATGACTTTTCTATGTTAAATCAGGTTTTGTTGTTGTATGTTATGTTAAAGTTTGTTTTTGTTATGTTCAATAAAGTTCCAAACCCTACACAGAGCAGCATGACCTCACCTTTACAAGTTAATGGTAAACTCCCACAATAATCTGCTTAATACTGTCTGACTATATCAACATTTAGACAAATACCACAACAAAAGATGCATTTACGAAGGCGAAGCAGTGAATAACCAGAACATTTTCATTCAATAACCAAAGCTGTCATGGTCCACTCACGGTTGAACTCCCGATGGCGGACATGATGCCTCCACGGTCTCCTCCGGATCCACTTCAGGCGTCTGGGGAAGTCCATGGCACCAACCCGCTCTCATCAGTCACTGCGCGGCTCCTGGGCCCTGCTGTCCTGTCCATCCCAGGCCCAGACTCTGCAGATGGGACATAAACGCTGGAACAGATGACCAAATCCAGATATGATTGAATTTGTGCGCACACTAGAGTCCTGCGACAGTAGCAGTGGTCATTGTTGTCTTCTCGGTTTCCCGTTTGCAGGGAGATGATTAATGCATGAGGCTGTGGAACCCAACTCTCCTCTGGGCCCGGGGAGAGACTGGACTACACCTCTCTTTTCGGGACAGGTGTAATGTGACCTGCTGTAGGAGGGGAGGGGGCAAGTGAGGGATTGTTATTAGTGAAATTACAGTTTTTTTAGTGCATTTGTTCATTAGTGGTATAAAACAGGTTGTTTGGGGCTCGTGGCGTTTAGATTAAGAAGTCAAGGACTATTTTTTTTTCTATAAATGAGACAATATTATAATCTCAGCCTACTTTATGTGACATCATGACATTCAGAAGAGCCTTTAGTTTAAAATTGTGGTGAAGAGCAGCTGAAAATTCATTCCTGGTAACAAGTCAGTTGAAAAGATAATTTTTCTAATCCCTGGGGAAATACAATATAATGTATAATTGTTGTAGTTGACGACATAGTTGTGTTATTGACCAGGCAGCCAAAGTGAATGTATGTAGCTGGGAGTTCATGAGTCTTACTTCTTCCCTTTCAATTTCAGTCTCTAGAGGTGAGGAGGAAAATGTATATCTATTTATACATGTTATGATTGTATTTATGTCAAACAACTGAATCCTGTAGGGACCTGAACAAAAAATGAATAAATAAAAGCCACACAAAAATTGTCACAAACTTCCATTTCTTCTATGGCAGTAGATATTGACTACGGTCAAATTATTTTATATAATTAACCATAATTATAATAAAAATGACCATATAATCAAGGAGTGTATGTGACATGATGCTGGCCAGTAGAAAGGACTTTTCAGAGATAAGAATATTATGCAGGTTTGAGATCGTGATCACTGTCAAAGAATCTGGAAAAAAAGATTGACATTTTCTTTTTTTGAAACGTCTTCTTCCCACAGAACTGGCACCTGCCCAATTTTAGAACATAAACACAACCGATTTTTTCTGTCCATTTCTTCCGAATACTTGACTCCAGACTTTTTAGAGCAACATCAGGCCGTAAATAACCACTCACCACACATTCAGTCGTTTTGAACAGACACAAGCACTAAAGAGTATTCACAACTTCTTTATATCCTCAACCTTTCAGACTCTTTCCCACATGACCAGTCCCCCAGACCCTTTCAGTTCTGTTTTCTGTGTTTAATAATGCTTATGTTTTTCTCTTTGTTTTGCACTTTTAACCATGTTTGTACAATGTCCTTTGGTGTTTTGAAAGGCGCTTTTAAATTAAATGTATTATTGTTATTATTATCCTGATAAATGGAGCAGTGCTATGAAATTACTGTCCTGCAGAGTATTTATTGAAACAGAACACAAATCATGAAATGGTAAAACATACATTTGTCACACAAGAAATGCCCAACGACATAATATGCAACCTCCTGGAGTTTAGTACCTTTTGGCCAGTGCAGACAAAAAGGCAAGTACAGACATTGTTAACATTTCAAAAGGCATTCCACAACAATGACATAAATGTACAGAAACATTTTGAAATAAAAATATATACCATCTTTTTAATCGAAGGCACTAACGCACAACAGCACTTTTGAGTTTCCTACATGTACAGTAAACTTCGTTCAGTCGTATCAGATTTATCAGCTACATCGGTGAGGGGTAGATGTGCTGAAATCTCACAATGGTACACGTCTAGAGTCCAGGCTTTGGTAATAAAAATAAATTGAGTATGCATTATAGATACAATTTTAACATGAATATATTGCGTTGCTAATCCGCCCACACAATGCATATGAATTAAACTTGATAAATATTCTAATGATCATAAATATAATATCATTTCTTCTGAGGTAAAAACATGTCATAACGGGTGAACAAAGTAAGAGCAATGTACTGATAAAGGACAAAAAAAAAAAAAAAACATTAAAAACTAACGTGAACAAATAAAGCTTTTGTCACCACGTAGCTACCACTGGGAGGCGCCACCTACACGTCGGCTGAGAAAGCACATGGACACACGTTTTGGAATTGTATAGACACATTCAAGCACACACACGTTTATATGCACCATTGTAAACTATTCCTACTACTGCCTTCTACACACACGTCTCTGCGGAGCCTGGAGCTGCTTCGAAACGAGGAAAAACCTGCTGTGCTGTTTTAAAGTTCAAGTCACTGGTCTTCTACTACAGTACAACATAAGAGCTCGTATACATTACATTCACAAGAGAAACTACACGTGACACCGACATGTGCTATGTTGAACTCTGCTGAGTGAAAGCCTGGCAGTGGTCGGGTGCACGTCCCACATGGAGGAAACGTGTTTTGTAAACGCTTTATGTGCTGCAGCGTGAACCTAAGGCTTTGGGGTAGCTTATTTAAGTGTGGCTTGAAATGGCACGTGATTTTGTGAATGATCAGCTTACGGCCTTACGCTTTCTTGGAATTTGTGCTATAAATCCCACTGTGTTATTCAGACGATAATTTGTGTCGGAAAGGTCGAACAGCTTGATGGAGCAAATCAAACCGTGTTTTGTCTTTGTGATCCGAGTCCTGGATTGTCGATGCATGGTCTGCGCTGCCAGTGTAAGTGCTTTGGTGCCGTGTCACTCCATCTTTTCAAGTTCTATATTGTCCAAGTCGATGTCGGGAGAAGTCATGCAGCAAAGGCACAGCTTCTGGGTGTACAGAGAAACCTTATCTGCAGACAACAGGGAGAAAAAAAAAAGAGAAAATTACCACATTGTGCTTGAAAACCCCATTAGTGTTCTTGAATAACATTCTTTGTCAAACTGTATAATAGTTTTTTTATGTGGGCTGTTACGGTATGTGTTCAAATCTATGTTATCACAATAGCAAAAAGGAACATCTGTAACAAGGAAAAATAGCTATAAGGCGCAATTACGAGAGACAATCATGAGGCACATTGAAGCGCAGGTGTAACCCATAGTAATGTTAGCAGAGTTTGGCATACTAGATTTTAGGACTAAATATTCTGCACAAATGATTGATTTTTCTTCATTCGAGAATACATTTCACATTCATAAGTATTTACGATATTTACATTGTTATTTAGTTTACATGAGCTTCTGTACATGTTGCCTACTGTGCTTACAAAACATACCCACACATGCAAATATAAATATACCCTCAAGCAGCAGTATTTGCCCTAGTTTCACCATGTGTGATATTTACAAATGCATTTCAATTTGAAATTTGTCAGCTCAAAATGGAGTGGGAAAGCAGCAAAAAAAAAAAAAAAAAAAAACTCCTCTTTCTATTGACATTAAGTGAGAATTTTCCATCAACTCAAATCAAAGCCATGTAGGAAACAAAACTTTTCTGCTTGAAGATCTATACAATAAACCCAGACTGAACTTTGCGCTGTTAATCCTAATCCTCTCCCATTAAAACATCTAATGCTCATCGTGCCTGTGCTACGTATTAGTCGCTATAGTCGTACAGTATGTAGCAGAGTGGTTCCGTGTACAGAGAAGTATCTTACCGAGGGCCTTTGTGAGGAAGGCAGGCCTGGAGCTGGGCGGCAGGTGCACGCAGATGAAATAAACCGGAACGCCAGACAGAGCTACAGCGATTCCCACCAGGGAGTTTATGGTGTCACTGTAAAGAGGCATCACCACCAGGAATATGCTGCACAGACAGTAGACCACCGGGAAGAACAGGGACAGCTGGAAGACAACAGAAAGATGTGTCAAATATACTTCAGTCATCGAGATCTCACCTTTATATCAACATTTAACATAATCAAATTGCAGTGAACATTGATACTTCAAATGATGTTCTGCTTGCTCTGGCGATACGGAGTGCAAATGTCAATGACTGGAATTAAATTAGCTAAATGACGCGGGCCACATTCACAACGACATAACGGACCTAAGGGAATATGACCAACTCTGCATCACAGTACAATATACAGTAGATAACCTATTTTTTGGTCTTTAAATATACATTTTCCCCATAGCTTGGCTGAATGTGAGACTTATGGTATGAATTTATTCATCAAAATATTCCTCCCAAGAGAGCGCACTATACAGTAGGTCTTATCCACCAGTTTGTGCTTCTCCCGTATCAAATGTACATCGTCATTGAGGGTGTTTACAAAGCACTGGTGTTAAACTGGTGCCAGAAAGAGCTGGTGTGGCTGCAGGACTTCATTCCAATCAAGTGGGAGCACATTAGAAAAAATGGATGGAGTCTGGTGTGCTCCTGCTTGATAAAGGTAAAGGTGCACTTTATTTATCCCCGAAGGGAAATTCTGCATTTGACCCATTCTGATGCCACAAGGGCGTCTGTCAGGAGCAGTGGTCGCTGTAGAACCCATTTAGTATTTATTTATTAAGATCTCCAGATGATGATGCTCGGCTTGGTCAAGACCGGAGCTGGAGGATTTTACCTAATGTGCATGTTTTTTAGTGGTAGGGGAAACGGAGCATGCGGGGAAAGCCTATGCAGACACAGGAAGAACATGCAAATACCACTCAAAAAGACCCTGTTCCAACCGGGATTCAAACCCTGGACCTTCTTCTTGGTGAGAAGTTAGAGTGCTAACCACTCACCCTTTTTTTCTTCATTTTAAAAAGGGAATGAAATTCTTCAGTAACACCCGCCATATGAGGACCAGCTTGAGTCTGCCTCTATACACGGCTTGTATTATAAATGTATGTGTTTGTACAGAGTACACACTCATGTTGATCGGGATCAACACAGTCCCTCACTACACACATTTTGATTTGATTTGTTACACAAAGCAAACACTAAACTAAATATGGTGCTTGTTTGCTTTTAATGAATGCCAAGTGATTTATGTCGCAGAAGATGAGCATGAGTGAAAATCGAATGCCCAAAGGAAATCCAATGTAGAGCAGTTACATTTGCTCAGAATATATCTTTGATAGCAATTGCATTTCCAAGTTTGAGTCATATTATTTTTAACATATTTAAGATAAGATGTGCTTTATTTATCTCACAAAGATAAAGATAAAAGATATTTGCTTTATAAACAGTGCTAGTGTGACTTGTACTATAGATCAGACAATACAGTATATTTGATGACAGTCTCAGGGTTAGTACCTTCACTGGCCGATACATGTCTGGGGCTTTGAAGCGCAGGTAGATGAGGCTGCCGATGGACATGCCGATAAACAGCCAGTAGTTAAAGCTGAAGTAGTTGATTAATTGAAAGACATCAGGAACAGACAGGTAAATCAGAGACATGCCCCCCTGAGAGAAAAACAGAGCAAATAATTACACAACATTTGGTATGATTTAAAAGAAACTGTTAAAAAGTGCAAGATACTAACATTGAAAAGTAAGGCGGGAATCGGAGTGAAGCATTTTACATGAATCATACACAGAGCATTTGGCAGGTGGCCTTCTCTGGAGCCCACAAAGAACAACCTGCAGCGGAAAGAGTCAAACACAAACACATGAGGCTTTGGTTTGCATCAAAAAGTCATGAAAGTTTGATGCATGCATTGTTTACTCACCTAGAAGCAGCGATGATGGAGGAGTTGAGACCGCCGTAGCAAGAAATAGCCACAGACAGAGGGATGAGCCAGCGAGCCCACCCCAACACATCATCTGCGAATGTCTGACAGCCAAAAACAATGGGAGAAAATAAGGCAAAGCAAAAAATACAAAAAACAATGCTTTAATCTAAATGTACTGTATCAATGTGTGCTCGATATGCGATAGTGACATACAAAAACAAAGGCTTCGCTTCCTGCGCATGGTCTGACGCAAGACATTTTGAGGCTAGTTAAGTCTACTGAGGACTTGTTAGCAAGCAGAGGGAGGCATAGAAAAAAAGCCTTGGCCACTAATCACATCACATCCTCCCCGTGTTCCTGTGCAGTCCCCTAACCTATTTAACTAAATGGGCTCCTGTCTTCAGTTTGGCTCCTGCGGTCTGTCGCGCTACATGGACTAGGTGCCATCTGAACCACAGAGAAGCCAAGTACACTGCAGAGAAGCTGAGCAGATTCACTTGGTTTGGTGATAAATAGTGAAAAATGAAAAAAAAAAAAGAATTCAGGAGTAGCATGAGTTTGGGAAGTCCCTTTACTCACCACAGCCACAGCATCACTGTTGAGAACACTGTCTGCGTCCAAAACAACGTAGTAGGCAATGTTGGTCAGGATGTAGATAATGGTAACTATGGGCATGGAGATCGCAATGGATAAGGGGAGATTTCTGAAAAAAAATGACATGCATGAGAAGTAGGTTACAAGGATGTTACTTGTGTGGGCTTAATGCAACAGAATAGGCCACACAAGTAGCTCTACAGATGTGTTTTTGTAGTTTGTGAAGGTGCAGAGGCCGTAAACGCAGACCTCTCTGGGTTCTTGATCTCCTCTGTGATGAAGTTAAGCGTGTCCCAGCCGGAGTAGGAGTATAAAGCAGAGTACAGAGCCAAAGCCATGTCCCCGGGATTCACTTTGGAGCCTTTGAAGGAGTCCTCAAAGTTCTGGTCAAAACCTTTACACGAAACATCAAATGCATTAAACAGTCGAATGATCAATGGTCTTTTGAGAATAGTTTCTTTTTTCTTTAACCTATATGTACTGCACAAAAAAGAGAATATGGTGGATAAAGTTTAATATACATGTATTTTTTCAGTTTCAGTTTCTATTGAAATAAAGCCCAAAATATTTCACTAAAATCTAGAGTATCCAACTTTTGCGTTTCATTTTACATTTTGTTTGTCCCAGAAAACAAATAATACATGCTGTACAACAAACTCTTTCCTTTGTCTAATTATAAAACAAAAGCTTTAAATACTGAGTGAGGATGGTCAGAAAGCAGATCTGAGTCTCAAAGCGGTTTACAATTGTTAATTTTGGGCACTTGTCCTCTCACTCCACACAGAGATGGGAGCGGGGTCGCCAGTACAGGAGGCGCATGCCAGAACTATTGTACATATTTTTAGTGGTAGGGGACATCGGAGTACCCGGAGGAAACCTACGCAGACACGGGAAGAACATGCAAACTCCACTCAGAAAGGCCCTGTTGATTCGAACCCAGGACCTTCTTGCTGAGAGGCGAGAGTGCTATCCACTCAGCCACCGTGCCGCCCAAAGATATAACAAAGCTAGAATCTAGTTACATGGACTGAAATGCATTGTTTATTTTCTGGGAGTTTCTAAAAATAGACCTCTCATTTTTAAAAATTATACCCTCTGAAATCACTGACAAAAACATTTCAACCGTTTCTACAATATTTAATTGTTTAGAATATTTTTCACATCACAACAGTTGCGAGATGATTTACCTTGACCAAGTTTGACAAGCCCAGTAATGATGATGACAATAAGAGCCAGAACTTTGGCGAATGTGGAGGCGACCTGAAGGATGGCTCCCCATTTCACCTTCCAGCAGTTCACAGCAGTCAGCAGACCTGAGGACACACACTTGTCCAGTTAAAAGGAGAAAAAAAAAAGGTTCAGAATTGCAACATTTTGTCAGTTTTCTAATGCATAGATAACGGAACAAAGTTCAAGGGATGTGTGAGCATGGCAGTAACTTTATAGTCAATGCAAACAATGGAACGAAAGGTCACTGTTGACATTAGCCAGTCCAGCCGAGTGTTAAAGTTTACTTTGTACTAGAAACCTAGAAAAACTGCAAGAAAAGTCCTACGGAAAGTACCACAATCTATGTTTAAATACGCAGAAAGTTTAACCAGTCAGATGATATACACAACAAAGCAGCATACTTTCCATATGCTGCAATCGAATTAATGCATTTGTGTCAACGTTATCCCATTATCCTGTGATTACTGTTGATAAGTAGTGTTATAATTAGTAACAGGATCTAGGAGAGACTTAAACAACTTTAGTACACTCAAGAACTTGAAGAAATATTCAATTTCTTAAAAGACTTTTGGTCTATTTTGACAATATTTCTCGGCAACTTATAAACATAAAACATTAAACATATTTGAGTTGTACAGTAGAATGTATTAGTAGAATGACAAATAAAGAACAAGGATCAGTAGAGCATAAATTATTACATCACTAGTTTATCGCATTGAGAATTTGCACCATTGATGTACTTCATTTATATTTTAGTCCTGTTCATTTGAAGCTGGGGAACCACAGAATTTTGTTAATAAATATTACTGGTACATGTTGTTTATCTTGTAAAAGTATGAATGAATCAACACATTCAGTTTTCACATTATTATAAAACAATTTCTGCATAAGAAAGACCCAAGAGTGACTATTTGACACTTTTCACTTTTCTATCTGAATGAGTGGATCTCAAGGAGGCCAAAAAGTACATGCATGTCAATTTTTTCCCACTGGGTTTCTTGGAGTTGTTCCTTGCAGATGCAGGAGGGTCTAAGGACAGTGGTGATGATCCAGGACATCTGTTAACATCAACATTTATGGACATTGGTCATCTGCCTCTTGTGGACCAAAGGCTCTAATGTTATTGCATTTCCTGTGTTTGAACGGTTTGCTTTTCTGATCTGCAATGGCGACAACTTTGAAAAGTCCTCTGAGATGATGACTGTTTTGATTTAGGGCTATACAACTTCATTAGTTAGATAATATGGTGTTTTATTATTCAATTGCAATGATGTGGTTTGAAAGTCAGGGTTCAGTGCCGTGGCTACTTCAGTGTGTGCAGATAAGATAAGCTTTTCTTGGTCTGTTTAAATACTGTTTGGTGTGGGAGAGTTGGAGAGTTAACGTACAGATGATGGCAGCAGCGATGAGGCGGACTGCGGCGTATGGAGGCGTACAGGTCCGGTAAAAAGGCTGCACCAGGTATGTGGAGAACGTCAAGGCTATCACTGCCTGACACGCCGGCTCTACGATCAGCAGCGAGGTCCATAACCTGCAGGAGTAATGGTCCATTCTATAGTTAGTGGTTGCCATTAGTTTTACCCTATTTGAATACAGCCTTTATCATATCAATTATTAGACCATATTTTACATGCTTGGATTCATTTCAAATTATGGAACAAATTCATCGGTGGTTGCTGTTAGGTGTAGAACAGATTACAGCAGGAGAACGCAACTTTTTTCCCCCTTACAATATGAAACAACATAAAGAGTCTTGTAAAATGTTGAACAAATCAGACCACAATATCTAGTCTTTGTCTAACTAGAAAACATCTTATATTTACAAACAAAAGTGTGTGCCACAAGAGTCCTATGAGACACAGTTCAGGCTGAGAGGAGGTTTTTTGTGTTTGTGTGTCCGTGTGTGTGTGCCTGGGGGCGTGCGTCATTGAGTGTTATGTGTTTTTGAAGGGTAAGATTTAGGGCTGAAACAACTAATCGATTAATCGACGACTAATCGATTATTGAAATAGTCGACAACTATTTTAGTAATCGATTAATCGTTTTCTGGTTCACACGGACTCAAACAGAGCAAAAATGACATGAAAATTTAGTATTTTGGATTAAAACCGACATTGTTTTTATAATTTTATGAATATCTGTCTGTCTCATACAATCAGATAGCAGAATTAGCACAAAGAGCCTGTTACAAACATTTACTTTAAGTTTACGCCATCAATACGTCCTCAAGTGTTGCCACTTTAGCTTTTTGTGATGAAAAAATAATTTTTTTCTACACAATTCACAGCCAAGCGATTACTCGATTAATCGTAAAAATAATCGATAGATTAATCCAGCCATTCCCAAACTCAGTAACACCGAGGCCCCCTTAAAAATCTGACGGGTCTGCGTGGCCCCCCAAAATAATAACCAAGAAGACAACATTAAGAATAGGCTCTTCTGGTTATTTTATTTTGGGGAAATAGCCTCTGCTACAAACATTGTAATACAAAAATGATTACAGTGGATTATTCAAGTCAAATAATGAACACAAATATTTTAATATTACAAACAAAACATTATAAATTTAACATTAAATAATTATATTATTTTTTTTATTTTATTTTTTGACCTCCCGCGGCCCCCCTGCAGTACCCTCGCGGCCCACCAGGGGGCCGCGGACCCCACTTTGGGAGACACTGGATTAATCGATTACAAAATAATCGTTAGTTGCAGCTCTAGTAAGATTCTGAATATGTTTTATATATTGTATTGTAGTATGTGTCTGAATGGATGGGAGGGGATAAGATTCATATGAGCGTTTTGCTTCGACCAATCCCTTCTCAAACCATGCACAGGTTTTCTCGTATCATATTTTCTGTGAATAATTGTTCGTATATCGTGCATTTTTGAAAAATAATAAACAAAAAACAAAACAGGCTGAGAGCAGATTGGCAGAGTCAATTATGTATTGATTTTAATACATAATTCATTTTTCTTCACATTTGACAGTACAGTAAGGTGCCTCAGCTTTAATGAAAAAGAAATGAAAATCTGGTCAAAAAAGGTCAAAAGTAATTGAAAAGGCGTTCATCTCTCTTCGATGTATCGAATTACACAATGCATCATATCATAACCTGCTTGACCAGTTTACTGCCTGCTGCATTGATTTTGGAGGTTCAAGCAAAGACACCTATAATTCATCAAAGTCGCTCTTGTACCGCCTTGTTCCATCCCCAGTGGCATTTTTTAATGAATTTCCACAACACAACTTTTTCTTCCACTTTTTAATTTTTAATTTTCATGGTTTCAACCCTAACTCTGAGATTGACAATCGGGTGTTGGATGTTCTGAATACTTTGGCAATGGCATGGAATTAACAAAATATGACATTACAATCCTGCCATTGCTACTTTTATTTTAAATATCTATAAAATACAGCTCATCCACAGGACCTGCAGTGTGTGACATCTGCTGCACTGTGGCTGTGTCACATTGAAGCCGATTGATTTGTGTGTGAGCTTTGTATTGGTCAGTGCATGCCCTAAAGAATTGCTATTGACAGAAATCAATGAGGCACAAATGTTGCATAAAGTCAATTTAGTTTTGGGAGGGACATGGACTCACTGAGTCACAGGTGAGTAAACCGACACAGGGGCCATAAATCAAGATAGAATATTGAAAGTAGGTCAAGGATACAGTGAGAACTGCTTTTATCTTTTAAAGTTTTGGGCCAACACTGGTTGGACAGATCGCTGGATGATAAGATGCTTACTCTCCGCCGGTCCTCAGCGGCCTCTAGTTTCTTCTGGATGTCCTCCAGGGACACGTCCCTCTTGGGGGGGCTGGTGATGCAGTGGGCTGACTCGGACACCGGGGAGGAGGGCTTGAGGATCACCTCGAAAGCCTGACCTGACGCTCGCTTGTTGATAGGTTTAATGTCCAGGTCTGAATGAAACACAAAATAGAAAAGTTGTAAATTCTTGGATCTGTTTGACATTACTGGATTTATTAAATAAGTATTATTCTGTAAATGTATTGTTTTCACTAAGATAAACACATTAATCATATATCAACTAGACAACTTAAAGTGATATTACACACATTAGACACGTTTTTTCTATTAGCTGCAGTATGTTCCAAAAGATGAATCTTCAGTTATTATTGTCCCTGAAAAACACCGGGCTTGCAGAACCTCAGCGTTCTTACCTTCAAAGTCTCCCATGATGTTTTTGCGTGTCTCGGGATAGAGACAGGAGCAGATGAGCGACAGCACTGAGATCTCCTTCATCTTCTCTTTGTACGCTGCAAACACAAACATTATTTAGACTCCGCTCCACTGACACATTTATTCATTAACCCACTTTTTACTCCTCCAGAGATGTAAACACTAAATATGAACACAATTATTATTCATCATTTTCCTAAAGTAAGGATCAAAGTCTTCACGTGTTTGTGCAGATGTTTGCTCTTAGTCTCCAGACTGTGTGTGTCCTAATTTCCTCCTCCAGCCAAGATGCTCTGTTCCCCACGGGGCTCTACACACGTCGTTAGCCACGCTTTTCATTTTGGCCCATTATTTATTAATGTAGAAAGGAACAACGCCCATCAGCGTCCATTTTGTACTAGTGATATAGTCATTTCAAAAGGTTATACTGTATTTACTGTATTTGAAATGTAGACCATATCTTATCTTCTGAACCACATCAAAACTCCACCAGGAGTCAAGGCCTTAACTGTCCAATGAAAGAAATCTGTACTATCTTTTTTTACAGTGGGAATCTGAAGCTTACATGTATTTAGTTGTGTGTGTCAGTTATTTATACATTTTTTCAATACAGTATGGAGATGGGTATTTCTTCTGAGTTTTTATTTTCTTAGATAAAGTAGATTCAGACAGTGTCTTTATTCCATACAGTATAACTGGTTTTCCAGGTGTTTTAATAGGACTAAGTGCTAGTTTTATCTCTTAAATATGGGCTTGAGGGTAAAGTAAATATCTGAGAGCAAATAGGAAAAATGGCATTATTAAAAAAGCTTGTCTAACCGGGAATTCACCAATTTGGACTGTTTTCTCATTATTCTTTGCTTTTTAATAATATCCTCATGACAGACTAACATGTAATAAAACAGTTCATTTTCTTGATTTCAAATACTTTAATTTAAGTTTGGCAATAGCAGATGATGTTTCCAACGGATGCAGCAAAGTTGCACAAAAAAAGTACTGGAGGTAGAAGCCCTAATCCTGTTTGTGTTTTTTTTGGCATGAATTCCTGAGTAAAGCATGCCCAACGGGGAGGGTGGCAGAAAGATCCGCAGCACTGCCACTTGTGCCAGAATGTGCCTTTGGAGAAGTGCCCCGTCAGGCTCTACAGATTCAGTACAAATTTACACGGTGAATGTCAATGTGGTATAATTCATCACGTCCCGAAGAGACCAAGACCGTGCACTGATTCATATTTTAGAGTCTGAGGCTGAGATGTAATGAAACCAGCTTCTTCTTGGGGTGTTAGAGTGCACAGTTAACCTAATACAAATCTTCTTTTCTCATATTCCCAACTCTCCCCAAGCAGACGGTTAGACGCCAAACTAATATGATCAAGGCTCACCAGGAGCTGCAGCCTCTCTAATGGTCTTGTTAACCTTGTCCCAAAGGAGCAGCAGCAGGGGTTCAGCTGCATCAAAGCACCTGACATGTAAACAAAATTAGTTTGAAGGGTCCATGAAGGTCAAACTTTTATTTTAACGCACACTATGTTAGCTTGATGTGGACCTTTCTTAACACAGTTTGTTTGTGTGCACTTATTTCAACATGTTAAAGTGCTTTTCGATGTTGTCAGATGACCATTGGATCAAAAACGGGCGAGTACTGTATATGACATGGTGTGATAAATCCAGGTTATACTTCACATTTCATGCCTCTGTAATAATCTTTTAATCATTAGGTAGACATTGGTTTTAATTATTTTGGGGAGATTGCTGTGTGCTCAGAGTAAACACAGACCACTCGCACAGACAGGACGCCTCCCTCGGGTCGAGCCTCTAATGGATGCTAAGGTGAACCGACAGCACTTAGCTTTTCAATAACGCGACCACGTTTACCTCTGACATGTGAGGGTCGTAGGAGTGGAGCTCTTCCAGATGCTCGTCAAATATTGCTTACAATCTTTGTGCCACTCGAGTCCTTATTGATAGTTAGAGAGCGACCGGTTGACGATTCATTACAGCAGATAATAATGGTTAAGTGCTATGGAGTACGTTTTACTGGTGATCAATAAAACTAAATTGCTCTCTCTAAAAGATTTCCCATTATTCAAGATAATCTGGTTGAATATGTAGCAGAGTTCTATAGGCAATAAAACGGTTTGCTCATTTTTCTGAATGCCTAATTTAAAAATATGAGAATCTCTACGTTGCAAACTATTAGATTACTTCCTCATTTTTCTCGAGGGAAGAAGAGCTCCTCTGGCACCCACAGTAATGAGCTCATCCCTGTGGATAAGGCAATGACAAACGACAGCAGTGACATCCCATAGTAGGAAAACGTCCAAATCAGTGAGATGCAGTGAGGAGAAGGCAGGTTGTATATGACACTATAATGATGCCATTCCACCCTGTGCGGGCCGAGCATGCTTCTAGCTCAGCCTCCGACATGCTGCCAGCACTTCCTGTTTCAATCCATCACTGGGAAAGCAGAGGTCATCAAGGCTTCTCTCCCTCTGTGCCTGTGCTGCATTCCTCAAACTGGCTTCTATTGTAAAAACCACACTTTTATGATGCTTTTTCTTTCCACCACGCCTTGCCCACTAGTCCCACCACTTTGTTCATCTGCAAGGTTATATTTCGATAAACGAAAAACTGCTGATGCGAACACAAGTGGAGCCGGGAGTATTAAGGTTGTTGCTATAAATGTGACCGAGTTTACTGCCCTCCAGGGTGCAGTGGCGCCATTACTTCAGCTATTGTGCCATAATTTTTTACAATGAGACTGTATGATAACCATACAATTGGAATGTTATTAAGGAAATATGCTGCTAAAGCAATTATTATGAGGAATCGCGCAGGAGAGGTGACAGCCAAACCACACCCTACGCAGACTGGAGGTTATAGCTTTCAATGTTCAGCAGAAGTGAGAAAATGAGATCATGAATATATGACACACATTATCCAGAATATACAACATACATAATCCAGAATCAATGCCATCAATCTATCTGACAATGGCAACACGGTGCATTGATATTTCAGGGTAAATCAAGAAGATATATTGATGGCAAATGTAAATAAGGGAAAAGGGCGAGAAACATGTGACACCGCTGCCCTGGTTTGAATATAAAGGCACTGTTGTCTGAGGAGCTTCTGTTTCCTCCACAAATGAACAAATTGATTTTGGGCACCAGTTGAATGACCACACCTAATTGAATATGACAAGAGAGCATGATACAAATCAGAAGTGCTTAGAGGCTTTGATGCACAAGGCGTGATAATGGTATGATGCTGAATCATTTACAAACTTGAAAAAACAAACATGGATTTGAAAAAAACTATTTGAATTCACCCCCAAATAAATGATACGCACAAACTCACACGGCGACTAAATTAACTCGTTGACCCACAGTCTGGCAGCTTTTATACCCCTGCCTCTTGCCCACCCCATCCCGTGTGTCCACATCTCAAATCGTGGGAGGAGGTAAAGGGGGATTTAATGCCAGCAAGGTTTGTGCTCCTGTCCCTCTGTGCAGACGCCAAGACCCTTAAAGCTGTCTCCTTCTCCATCTATCAAGTGCCCAGCGAGCCAGAAGACAAACTGGACCAGACAGGGCACGCTCCAGCACTTAAATTAACACTTAAAACAAAAACAGTGCCTTTGTTAAGTTATGCTTTTGGCAAGGCCTGCATGTGAACTCTTTCAAACCTTTGAATGTGGTGCAATAAATTATACATAAAGATTTGCCTCCTAGACTGGAAAAATACAAGGCCTATCCCTGCAAGCTTCATTTTGTATAGCCTTATAAAAGCCCATTCTTGAAATTGGGACATTGCAAACAGTGATACGACCATTATATCATAATCAATATCCCCTATAAACCTATAAACTATGTCTGATGTGTCCATTCGTAGCGGCCGTAAATTTTCCCTCGACTGCAAAGCAATCCTCGACAAGTCCATCTTTCTCCTATTCATCCAGACGCAAATTGCCTGACTGTAGATTTGACACCGTTTCTGGAGAAGTCTGACCTAGATTTGGTGAAGGGATTTGTCGCGGTGAGACGTTCCACACCCCAGAGAGAGAGAGAGAGAGAGAGAGAGGGCTCTTTTTTTGAAGGGACCAGAGATGTTGGGTGGGGTCGCTGAAGCTGCATTATGCCGCACGACCATGAGTCAGGCAGCGGAGGCAGGTGATGCGTGCATGGAGCAGCACAGCATCACCATATGTCTAAAAGTGAGAGCAATGAAATGTATTGATAGGTGGTTGAATTGGTAATAATTTGCAACCGGGTGGAATAGGTGCGCCCCTTTGCGTAAAATGTGCGCACTTGTCTTTGAATGAGGGTAGGAACGTGCCTGTGAAATTGTCATTGAAAAGTAAATACAGAATTTGTTACTTAAGCAATTATAAGAACCACTCCCTTAAAACAAGCACGAACCTTTGTACAGTGGATAACGCCTCACGCCTTCAAATCTGCCGTCTCATTTAACTCAGACCTCATCGCATCATCAAGAGAATAATAATACGTGTAGAACTTACCAATAGCGGTTTTGGCCATTTTGTCTGCTGTTTTGGGAGCTTGGCAGCGCGGGAGGAGCAGGTGGAGGATGCTGTTTCTCGGGGTGAAGGACTGCTTCTAAGGCACTGAGTCAGCAGAGACGGGGGCTGCCGGTGCGCCTGGTGGTCTGTGAGGAGGAGTGTGAAGACCGGGGAAGATAATGGAGAGCGACAGGAAACCATGCCCATGCCCTTCACATTAAAGTCCAGTTGCGAATTCAAAGAACTGTAATAATTTATGAGGATATTTTTATTTAAAAAATGTGGGCTAATGTTGTTTGTCTTAGGTATGTAATGTCACGTTTATTTACTTAGCGCATTTTTTATTTATGTATTGTTTATTTGGTTGGGACAGTACATGTCAATGAACACATCACTCCGAATTGTTGCCGGATTGGGCTAATTTGCATCCGTTGTCCCATTCGCACTCACTCACACACACTCATTCACCCTGAACTATTGCACATGTTTTTTGTGGTAGGAGAAACCGGAGTACCTAGAGGAAACCTACGCAGACACGGGGAGAACATGCAAACTCCACTCAGAAAGGCCCTGTTCCGACTGGGATTTGAACCCAGGACCTTCTTGCTGAGAAGCGAGAGTGCTACCGTATGCTTTGAATGTGCATAGATCACTTGTGGGATGTTAATGATTTTCTTGTATGCAGTCAATATCACAGCATTAACTTTGACCAAAAATGACCCAGACATAAATTATGCCAAATAATTACTGATGGCCACTGATGACTGCTGTTGTTGTGTCCTTGGGCAAGACACTTAACCCCACTTTGCCCAAAGCCCCCACTGAACGATCAAGGCTATGCTCACACTCAGAGAGCAGCCGTCCTCCTGTGGACTCACCACCTGCAGAGGGTCAGTGAGGGGCTGGTGCTATGTGACTTGGGTGGCATCTCTGATTGCCACCCCCCTGACCCAGAAATGGATTAAAGGGTAGAAAATGGATGGATGGATGGATGGATTACTGATCAGCAGAACCTTCCGTGGATGGTCCAGATGTGGTCTATTTTAGGCTGTTTCCATGCGTATACAATGGACTCTTATTTTGACATCTCAGTCGCATGGTCTTGTGGGGCATGTTCAGCTTGACTTGAAAACGTGTGCGCCTTCTATAGTTCATCCATACGAGTGTGTGCTGAAGTGCATTTGTCCCTGGGTGGGGGCCAAGGGTGGAAGGCGAAGGGCGGGGGCCGCGCCTGTCGCCCGCGCCTTGTCTCTGTCCATGGTGCTGAACAATCAAACACCGTCGATCAAATACTTATCGACCTAAACGTATCATCCCAGACAACAAACGATTTATTATTAATGTTACTCAGAAATGTATTATTGTTTTACCAAAGCACGTGCACCACAAATGAAGTCCTGGCCACAGTAAATAAATAAATAATGGATTTCAAATATTGACGCTCCATAGACTAAAAAAAATATATTAACTTGGTAACAATGCTTACTATGCAAACTGTCAAAGTAATAGTATCTTCAGATTAAGAATTCTTCTTTTTTCCAAGGACAGTGGTGATGATCCAGGACATTTAAGGATATTTCTAAAAATGTATTAACATTTATGGACATTGGTCATCAGCCATTAGGACCAAAGGCTCATGAGGCTGTAATATTGCATTTCCTGTGTGCAAAATGTTTGATTCTCTGATCTGTGTTTACAACTTTGTAAATTCATCCTGTTGTTATTTTGCACATTACAACATATGGTTGAATATAATTGAACATTTTTATTGTTGTTGTCAGGAAAGGGGAGTGACAAACTAGAAATTTGCTTTGGCTAATGGTCCAAACTAGTTGTAAAAGTAAAACTGATATATAAAGGCATGAATCCAAAATCTTATCAACATTTATAAGACATTTTTTAAGAGAAAGCAAAAAGGATGAATACGGCTCTAACGTTATGATATTTTCTTTATGCTGATTCTAAAAAGTGTATTAAGATGTATAAAAGTATGTATATTGAAATTGTATTCAATTTCAAGCACACCAACTGTGTTGGCACTTGGATGGGAGACCACTGAGGAAACCGAGTCACTGAAGGCATTGGTGAATCTCTTCTGGTTGTATCATAATAAAACACACTTCCCTTGGTGTGTGGGTGGTTGGAGAGGCTGAATGCACAGGATGGCAGCTTCGCTTCTTTTACTTGTCATTCTACCCCAGGGCAGCTGTGGCTGCAAACATAAGTGCATCATCATCATCACCATTGTCAACATTATCATCAAAATAATAGTAAAAAGTAAATAAAAATGAAACGATGAACTTGTTTGAATTGGGGAAAATAGACTGTACTCATCGTACCGTAGATATGTGAAGGTAAATAATGGTAGCGTGTAATGAAGACTACATTGGCGCCATTTCAACTGCTGCCACTAGATGGCGGTAAGTGTTCACTTTTATCAGTGAAATATGAGCTGTATCCAAAGTAAAGCATCCGTCGCAGCTTCTTTCATGATTGATGAATCTCTCATTAGCATTTATAACACACTGTTTATTAGGTTTCTCTTCAGTATTGTCGAAACGCCCTTGATGGATGAGCTTGTCCTCTGTGCTCCTCATGGATGTGGGTGCTCCCTGCAGGAGGACGGGCGTCACTGGGCGGAGTTAGAGGGTTAGGAGGCAGAGGAGGAAGAGCTGATGTTCTCGATCAGACACGAGTTCAAGACCGCGGTCCTGCAGCTTTTGTAGAGCTCTGGCATCTGAAGACAAGAAGAGAACCGCACTCCAGGTAAACACAATCTTTACAGCTTTTTTTTTGAATAGCTTTTTGCAGATGGTGTAATGAACTAACATGTAGGTGATAGAATCCTGCTGTGGCGAGCTCAGACTAACTTTACATGACACAGATGCTCCAGTGTGTTAGTGTTGTATTCTGTGGCTTTAGCTGTGTTTAGCAGTGGTTAATGCTAGCTGCTATCTCTGTTTGCCTAGTTGTAAATGAATCCGTGGGAAACATGTGAGAATGTGATCTCTGTATCCTCTGTGACTCTGACAGAAGCTAATGAGGAGCAACCACAGGGAAAACAGCCTGACATTTTACACACATCAATAATACTGTGTTTCTGAGCGGAGGGAGTCACGGAAAAGCAACTTGTTCTGATTAATGAGCTGAAATCTGTCCTAACACCATGACTTTGGGGAATAGTTTCAAACCAAACTTCACAAGTCCTCGCTGCGGGTCCACGTTTGCTCACATCCGGTTAAGACTGAGCGGTGGTTCAGGATCAGAGCTGTAGTGGTTCTGCTTAGAGCTGTAGTGGTTCTGACTCAGAGCTGTAGTGGTTCTGACTCAGAGCTGTAGCGGTTCTGACTCAGAGCTGTAGTGGTTCTGACTCAGAGCTCTAGTGGTTCTGCTCTGAGCTGTAGTTGTTCTGACTCAGAGCTGTAGCGGTTCTGACTCAGAGCTGTAGTGGTTCTGCTCAGGGGGAAGTCTTTCTGCGTGTTGTGGTCTCAGTGTCGTTATTTTGTGCTGCCGCATATAACAAAGAACAGGAAACGATAAGAGAACAGTTTATAGTGTGTGTTTTATAGTGTGTGTTTATAGTGTGTGTTTATAGTGTGTGTTTGTGCGTGATGGTTAATCATTGGAGCAGTTTTGTATGGAGTCAACATTTTCTTTCATTTAAACTGCCCCATCACTTGTGCTTTTTATTATATATTCATAATTTAATTGTAATGAAAAACATGTCCTACAGAAGCATTCATTATCATGGGATATAAAAAGTACTTTATCATCTTGTCTCAATCCTGACACGTGCTTTAAAATTGAGAGACACCAATCCTGGAGCAGAAAGGACTTCTTGTTCTCAAACATGTCTTTACTGCTCTTCATTTACCTTAGGCTTAAATATTATATACCCTTTTTAATAAATAATGGCATGGCTGCATTTGCATGTGTGCACAGTAGAATTGAGATGAAAGAAAAAGTATTTTTTCCCCACCCTCATTTTTGTCAGAAAGCTAGGTTTCAAAAGATTGAAAATTTTGCCTTTCCCCCATCTTTCATTTCACAATCACCACAATTTCACATTTTTGTGGATTTTTTTAAATTTGTTCAGTGCATTAAAAACACAAGACGCTTAGTTAGGGCAAGCTTGGATTTTATGAAATTTCTTGACACAGATGGCCAAAACATTGTCCCTCTGTGTCACCACTATCAGCACCTACCATGTATGTTTCTATGAATGGTAGCTGCAGATAATGACGACGCAAAGGGCCAATTTTTGGGAAAAAAAAAGACGTCAATGAAGTAAAAACTTAAAACATTTCTGCTAACAGAAAAAGAAAACTAAAATGAATAAAGAATAAAATAAACAGCTCAAATGCAGAGGCATAGGATAGATGAAATGTGGGGTATTGACGTTTGATGTGGGGGTGGTCATGTGCTTTCTATGCGTGGCTTTAGAGCCTGTGCGCGCGGGTCTGCTCTCAGAAAAGACTATGGAGGTTATCGACTGGTAGGAAAATGTGTATGAGTAGTTGAGGTGGGTTTGTTATCGAGAGTAGGATCATGGTTTCATTGCTGCTTGTTTCATATCCTGTTTCAGTTCATGAGGATCCTTTTCTTGACAATATCTAGGGCAGCAATGAGAATATTTTGGTCGTTTTGTATTGAGTTTAGTTTGGAGCAGTGACCAACTATGCGTACAGTGGGGGTACAGGGGATATGGCAGTCAAAAATGAAGAATAAGAAGCTATGAATGTGGATGCACTGCCAGAAAGAGGGGACGTATACTGTCGGTGTATTTTCTGTGCCGTTACTACAGTTAGCAGAGAGGAATCCCATTTCTAGGATACGAGTAACGAGATCATTTTGTTTAGCTGCAGCCAGTGGTTCAAAGAATTATGGCGAATAGGTATGAAGAGAGTGGACATCTCCGCTGTGAATCTTTGTGACGTTAGTCCGTTGTTACACTGGTTTTTGGTGATGTGTATAAAATGTCCACCCAGTTAATGAATGACTCCGAAGCCACATTTCTGCTGCGTTGATATGAGGAGGGACCAGTCGACTTTGACAAATGCTTTTTCAGCATCAAGGCTAACAATGATTGTGTTTGATTTGTTGTGTTGTAAGTGGTCAATAATGTTGACAAGTGTGCGTGTAGTGGTAGAAAAGTATCTGTTCTTTTATAAATTCAGTCTGGTCTGGATGAATTATGGATGATTTTGTCAAGTCTGTGCGAGGGGGTTTTGGATAAAATGTTAAGGTTATCATTGAGAATAGAAGTCCTCCACCAGGAGGACTTTGTGTTCTTTCTCCTAAACGGTTTTGGATTAGGAGCAGGCAGCGTGTGTTCGCCTTAAAATTGCACAAATGAATGTAATAATTTTCACGTCTGGGCCTGCCTGTGCAAAAGTATTTATTTCAACAAAAAAACTAATTGAATTTTTTTTTTTTTTTTTGGGAAGATTTGACCACTAAATAATCTAAAACCCGCAACTGGCCACAGCCAAGACAACCCCTCCTCTAGAGCGGAGATCACAAAGTAGCCAGAACGACTCATTAGAACAGGGGTGTCAAACTCATTTTGGTCCGGGGGCCACATACAACCTAATCTGATCTCAAGTGGGCCGGACCAGGAGATGCTCTACAAAAATATCCAAAAACGGTACAAAGTCCAACTTTTTGTGCACATAAACACATTTATTTAAAACTTCCTTTAAAACACTATCCTTTAATACTCAGTTTTCTGTTACAAACTTAAATGTAACAGTGAGTTTTCCATAGTGCAAATAATGTAGCGTATTTACAATATTACATTGAAAATGGTATTTCACAATATGTATATTAATATTTGTATGTTAGCTTTGTTTTAAGGCTCAATACAGAGAAAACTTGCTCACAAAGGTAAAGTAGGTAGATAGAAAAAAGCACTTAAACACAGCACCTCAGCTTAACCATCTTCAGTGTGGTAAGGTCCATGGTTATGTTATTATCACAGAGAAAGCATCAAACTGACCATGATTCACTTGAAATGAATAAAACAACTTCCATAACGTGATCCATTCTTAACGACTGCAGCAGTGTCTCTGTGTAAAATACAGTCAAATGTCCAAAAATCATCACCTCCATTTGCAGCTTTGTCACTAAACCTGTTTTTACCATCGGTACCAGTCCACACTGTCCAACACACCAGCAACAACAGCAGAACCAGCAGCAGCACCAGCAGCAGCGCTCAAAACTCCTCTGATAGTTTCAGTAACACCACAAATGAATATGTGACATCAGTAACATCAGTCTCTTATCAATGGCAACATGTTGGTAAAAGCGAGTGGTTTCTCAGACCATGTCTGCAGCCTGTGAGAGTTTTAACAAACTCTCTCTCACTGTGCGGCTGCGATGCCAATGCTAATGTTGTTAGCACAGGTAGCTTCCCTTTACAGCAGCAGAACTAACCTCTCGCTCTGGGCACAAACAGACTGCTGTGTCTTCAGGGCCAGACATGTTTATCTTCTGTTTTCTCTATTCTCCGCTCAAAGTGCCGTATTTTTCGCCGAGTCTTGTAGTTTAAGATGTTATTCCTCCAGCACCGCTCTGGTGGAGCCACTACAGACGCACTGGACTCACCCCTGAGCGCGGCGCTTCGCGGTGCGTCGCCTCGCGGCGCGGAGCGGCTTTTTAAAATGTAACTTTATTATATTTTTACATAAATGAGCCGCGGGCCATGTCAAATCTCTTGGCGGGCCGGTTCCGGCCCGCGGGCCGTATGAATGACACCCCTGCATTAGAATATAGATATGAATAATTGAGTTAACAAAATACTTAAAATTGTGTTTATTTTTTGTATCCTGGGAAACCTGACATTTCTGCAATACGGACAAATGAATATCACTGCATGCTTTTTTCTATATTCAACTTATTGTAGAGGGAAGGGAATGTTTATATCTCAATTACAATGAGTTCTGAGGTGTTTTCAAAATGTTATTATCACATTTGCCTGCAGACTCTACTGTTGCAAATGAGAAAATCAATCATCCATAACTCTTGACACTTGGCCAACGGTTCCAAACTCTGGAGAATGTGAGTGTGGGATCATTGAGCTGGTTTGTCACTTTCTTACTTTTGCGAGCCACCAAAATGAGAAGTATCTTTCTTGAATAGAACCAAATAGAAATCACTGGCTCAGGAGCCTCTATTCACGTCCCCTTTCATAGAGCGTCTAAGGCGAACATGGAGGCGTAAAATCTTGTGAGATGCAAAGTTTTGAATGGTGCTAACAGGACTTGTCTACACGATCTAAGTCCTTTTCACCGTCACAGCAGTGGTTTTGTGTCAAGTGTTTGTGCATCTAACTGCAACTAATTAAGGCTCATTCAAGAGGCATACAATCAGCTGGAATTACCATTTACTCCGTACTTTTAACAACCCAGGTTAATCCAGCCGTATCTATGCTCCTTTTAAACAGGACTGTAAGGAGAGTCTGGTGCATACTGTATGGTAAAATGTTTCCCCTTGTTACAATCTTAACTATTGTGTAAACTCAAAATACTGGCTCAAGAGTAACGCGCCTGTGTCATTTTATCTATTCAATACCATGTTCAGGTTTGTAGATTGCATTTGGTTTAAGTGATGACCATAAAAGAAGGATTTATTTATTGAATTTCAAAATCTTTTTGACAGTCCTGGCCTAATCGGGGATTTCCTTTTTGTAGGGGTTGGGGAAATAACAGCACCAGTAAAAACATATACAAATTGTTCTCTCATACACAGGGAGAACATGCAAATTACTCAGTGCCGCTCAGAATGATATTTTCCTAGTGTTGTTTTTCTCTCTTAAGAAAAGTGGCATTTCTGATTATTCGACATTGTCAGACTGTGACTGGCTCTGCTCCCTCAGGTCACCTTAATCCTGGGGGCTTGATGCTGTCAGCCTCAAAACAAGACTAGAATTCATTATAAACTAATATGTTTCGTGATGAGACTAACAATGACCTTAGCCCTACCACTGCTTTGTAATGAGGTGCTAAACAAGCCAATGTTTATTTTATCTATAGTTTTGTTAGAAGCTTCTCACAACTTGCCCCATTTTTGGTCACAACATATTTGTAATGTTTCCCGAAAGCCTGTTTTGTTCCTAGTCTTGTCTCTATAGAATTGTTTTGTCATATTTTTGGTGTTTTCTAGTGAGTGCACCTGGAGCTGGCAGAAACCTGGCAGAGTCGGTCTAATGTGTTTTGACAGCGTTCTGAAGTAGCGGTAGACAAATCGTCCGATGGGGTCATTTACCTCGCACCTGCATCCCGGGTTTACCACAGCCACAGAGAAAGCAACTGCCTTGTTTATGTTGCCGAAACTTCTTTTGTATTGTATTTTGCAACTACTTCAGATATGAATGAATGAAGTTTGTGTAGTTACATTAAAAAGATGGCTCCAGATTTAGCCTCATGCTATCTTCCATCTGTATTACCCGCCACGGTCATATGTGTTGATTTAGTTTTTTCTATTTCTCAAGATACCTCTCTATTTTTGGTAAACACAGTACGATTTTGATTACCATTTTACTGAAGTATCTATTCAAGATAAATTTCAATTTAATTACAGTTGAAATTTAAAGGGACAATACCTGTTTTACAAAGCACAAAAAGAGTAGATTCATCAAGAAGGTTTTTCAGAAAAGAGCTCCTTGTAACAGTTTCAGTGTTGTTTGAGTTTGCTGCAGTCTCAAGACAGAATCCATGTGAATACTTCATCAGTGTATTCCAATATGGCTTGTTACTACATAAGCTTTAAAGTTATTTTATTTTAAATTATTGTCTAATTGTGTCTTTTTCTGATAGAATGGCCCCTGTTTTAGATGTTTTATATAGAGTAGTTTTAAATTGATAAAGCCTCAGTTGAAAGGTGTTGTAAAACTTATGTCTTAAAGTTTGGCATAAATTACTATCAATTCATTTTAGTGACTTAAATCAAAGTGTATTCTATGGAGCTATTATTGTTTCAATAATATTTGTGTGTGCGTAAACAGATTTGTGTGCGTAAACAGATTTGTGTGTGCATAACCAGATTTGTGTGTGCATAACCAGATTTGTGTGTGCATAACCAGATTTGTGTGTATGTAAAAAGATTTGTGCGTGCGTAACCAGATTTGTGTGTGTGTAAAAGAAATTTTTGTGCGTGTGTAAATAGATTTGTATGTACGTTTTTTTTTTACACACAAATCTTTTGACGCAGTCCTGCCTTCGCAGATTCGCAAGTGTAACTTGCGTAAACAGATTTGTGTGTGTGTAATTTGACATTTGTATCTGTAGCTGAACAATCTGCGTGTAAATAACCACGTTGTACGAAGAGAACGGAAAAAACCTAAGTGCTACGCACAGGCTCTGTTTTACACACAAATCTCTTTTTGACACACCTCTGCCGCCAAGCCTGTGTCAAAAAGATTTGTAAGTGTAATGTGGTTGTTCTAGCAGTACACCAGCAGATGGTGCTGTTGTAAAACGTTTTTCTACGCACACACAAATCTTTCTACGCACACACAAATCTTGATACGTACATACAAATCTATTTACACATGCACAAATATTTTTTACACACACACAAATCTGGTTACGCACGCACAAATCTTTTTACATACACACAAATCTGGTTATGCACACACAGATCTGGTTACGCACACACAAATCTGGTTACGCACACACAAATATTATTGAAACAATAATAGCTCCATAGTATTCCTGTGATTGTAATCTAGTTGTAGAATGTTTGGGAGCTAAGTAAAATAAATTATACATATACAAATATTGCCAAACTGTAAAGAAATTTGGAAAATCGTTAGAGAATACTTGAATATGAAATTCTTTATTGTGTTTTGTGTAAAGTCTAAACTGTCTTTAATTGACGCAAAAATGTTTGTGTCGACAGGAGCGTGAAACACATGGTTGCTGTGCTATTCTAACGCAGCCTATGGTAACTGTGGACCGGGGTTTAATTCGTGACAGCTGGTGAGTTTTATTATAGAGCTTCATACCCTGGTTGTAAAGCAGTGCAGCCTCTTTTCAGCCACACACTCTACTCACTGACACGGGGAAACAGAAAATCTATTGACCAATCACAGAACGCAGATCTGGGAACTTCTGCCTCTTCTCATAAAGATAAGATAAACTGGTCTCACACTGGAGAAATGTACGTGTCACATTTGGCATAGATAGAATCACGCAGGGTGTGCAAAAATGTTAAAGGTTAAAATATAAAATAGTCTCTTTTGGCCACTTTAAAAGCTCTAGGAAGGATAAGGAGGTATTCCGGCACACTTTGGATCAGATGCAGCCTCTGTTTGAGAGAAAAAACAGATTTTAGAAGTAAATCAACACAACTATCTGTGAGAAACAGCCGAGCACTTTTGTATATTGTTGACATAAGCAAAAATAACTTTTTGTCCGATGAAATGCATCAAATCACAGACCATGAAAAGAGCTGCTCGAAGCAAAGATCCAGACTCTCACATATTGTTAAATCCTGTGGGTCTGTCTGTCTGACGAGCCTCCGCAACCTCTGAATCTATTACGCATTTTCTGCCAATCCGCACTTTTCTTATAAGTGAGGCTTAAGTTATTATTTGATAGAATACTTTAAATTAATCCATTCTCATTCTTGTTTATGTGCCTAGTGTCCAGCACAGCCTCTCTACGATGGATACTATCATGATTGGAAACTAACACTTCCCACAGTCCGTCCAGACCAGTTTTTTCGACTGCCAACAAACTGCTCGTGCTTCCTCGTTACCGTACGCCCTGAGCCGCTCTCACGATGGTGGCAGAGGCTGACGCCGGGTCCCAGAGCAGCGGTGTTCGGCTGAAACAGGAGATCTCTCTGCTCCATGGAGTTTGTCTCATTGTTGGAAACATGATCGGCTCCGGCATTTTCATCTCGCCCAAGGTAACGGCTGCTGTAGGAAACAATTGAACTTGGATGTTTGCAGATTTGTAACTTTGGGAATTTCTTTTCAAGGGAGTCTTGATACACACCGGCTCATATGGCCTGTCACTCGTGGTCTGGACTGTAGGAGGGATTTTCTCTGTTTTCGGTGCACTGTGCTACGCGGAGCTGGGGACCACCATCCGCAAATCTGGAGCCTCGTATTCCTATATCCTAGAAACCTTTGGCGGCCTCTTGGCGTTCATTAGGTAAGCTAAAGTCAATTGTTTGCTGTTGACAAATGTAGGGAAGAT